GATCAAATGTTAGCCATCTTACCAACTAATTATACATAGTATAATTAAATATACAGTGAGGAACATAAGTATTTGAACACCCTGCAACTTTGTAAGTTCTCCCACTTAGAAATCATGGAGGGTCTGACATGTTCATCTGAGGTGCATGTTCACTGTGAGAGACATCATCTAAAAAATATATCAGAAATCACAACGTATGATTTTTTAATAATTTATTTGTGTTACTGCTGTAAATAAGTATTTGAACACCTGCCAGTCAGCAACAGTTCTGGTCCTCAAAGACCTGTTAGTCCTCCTCTATAACGTCCACCTCCACTTATTATTCTAAATCAGAAGCACCTGTTTGAGGTTGTTAGCTGCATGAAGACACCTGTCCACCCCACACAGTCAGTAAGACTCCAACTACTAACATGGCTAAGACCAAAGAGCTGTCCAAACACACCAGAGACTAAATTGTAGACCTCCACAAGGCTGGAAAGATCTACGGGGCAACTGCCAAGCAGCTTGGTGAAAAAAGATCAAGTGTTGGAGCAACTATTAGAAAATGGAAGAAGCTAAACATGACTGTCAATCTCCCTGGGACTGGGGCTCCATGCAAGATCTCAACTCGTGGCGTATCAATGATCCTAAGAAAGGTGAGGAATCAGCCCAGAACTACATGGAGGAGCTGGTCCATGACCTGAAGAGAGCTGGCACCACTGTTTCCATGGTTACTGTGGGTAATACACTAAGACGTCATAGTTTAAAATCATGCATGGCACGGAAGGTTCCCCTGCTTAAACCAGAAACCTGGCTGATCTAGAAAAGATCTGTGTGGAGGAATGGGCCAAAATCCTGCTGCAGTGAACCTGGTGAAAAACTACAGGAAACGTTTGACCTCTGTCACTGCAAACAAAGACGACTGTACCAAACATTAACATTGATTTTCTAAGTGGGAGAACTTCCAGAGTTGCATGGTGTTCAAATACTTATGTTCCTCACTGTATAAATAATCATCGATCAGATCTGTAACGTTAAAATAAGAGGCCCAAAACTGAAAATTCCACTGGCAACTCAGTGCCCTAAATTTAGATGATCAAATACTGGTATGGAAAGAGTCACATTAATCACAAACTGTTTATTTAGGTATACATTTTCATTTTATTATTCAGTTTAGGAAATAAACCTATTCAACAAATTCATCAGCACTTTCTTTACACAAACCTGAAACTGACATAAAAACGAGTAGCAGCGTCATGTGTTTAACTCGTAAAACAACTTCAACGTTTCAGAGTGGTTTATGTGAACCCTCTTTTATAACTTAAAGCCAACATTAGATTAACTTTACACCAGTTTTGACATAAAGCTCATGACTACATGAGATTTCAGCTCATGTAGTCATTTAACATTATTTATTTTTCATATATGATGATTAATTAAATTGTATTTATCAAAGTACAGTTTTCTGTCAGTATGATTCTATATATAATCAAGTTTAGCTCATCCAAACAGCCACAACACTTTATTATTGTTAAAATATCATGAAGAATTGAATTTAGCAGATATATATGATAAACTACACAAACACGAAACAAACAGAGAGAAAAGTTTGGGAAAAAGAATGAAAGCGAAACAGAGACACATATCTTTGTTATAATATGGCACTTACAATTATTCATCTTTTAGCGTTAGTATAATTTATTTATAAGAACTAAAGCAGAAGGGGCAGTCTCTCTCAGAGTGACACTCCAACAGGCTGTGTGCTACCGCCCCGGCCCCGTCCCTTTGAAGACCAGAAGTTTGGCCACGCACGTAGCTTGCACATGTCTGTCCGATGATGACGACGCTCTGAACATATTAACATTTAATACAAAGTTAGATTTTAGACACAACAGTCCTGGTGGTCCCCTGAAGCCAAGGCGTGGTGCAAGAGGAGGGGGTGGGGGTGTATCAGTTCTGGTGTCTCCCTCGACTGCAGTGAATTGGTCACGAGTGAACACGTACGTTTAAATTCAATTTGATTCATTTGATTCATTTCATTACATAGCGTCAAGTCACAGCAGAAGTCGTCTCAGGCACTGAACAGAAACATTCACAGACATTATAAAAGTCAATTAGTAAAGTTCTCTGTCTGAGGAAGCAGCAGGTTGTGTTGAAGCGTCACTTCATCACAGTCTCATCCTGAGCGAGCACAAAGGAGACAGTGGAAAGAAAAACTCCCTTTAACAGGAAGAAACCTCCAGCAGAACCAGCTCAGGACGAGTGGCCATCTGTTTTGACCGACTGGGTTAGAGAGGACAGGAAGGAGAAAAACAAACAGAGTGACAGGTCCAGGTGTGGTTTCTATAGCAGTGTAGTGAACTAAGCTGAGGTCAAAACCTTGACCTAAGGATCATTTGGGACATAACTTGTCATTTCATTGATTTGAATCCAGAATTACAGGTTGACCCATCCTGAGACTTTCTTTCTTGAAAA